GATGATCCTAGGTGCCCCTTTTGATTTTTATGTAAGAGACTAGTGTGGAATCTCCACATCTTAATTTCTTCCCCTCTGTAAAATGTCAACAGCATTGACCCAACAATTCCTATTATTGGTCCCAACACCTTCACCCTCCCTGAGGCGGTTCGCAAGCTTAACTTTTCCAAGCTAAAAAAGTACAAATGAAATAATTCATGCATGCAAACTGCTTTGGGATGGAAAGAACTTCAAAATAGTTGTTTATTTTATAGAATTTAATATCTTTTAGAATATTAAATTTGATCAAATAATCCATGTATTAAAAATAAATAAAACTGCAGTGATGAAGATTTGTGACTACGTACCCGAACAAAACGGAAAAGATAAAAGTAACCACAGGAACGAGATTATAAAGGGAAGTAGCAAATGTTGCTGATACCCAAGCCAAACCGATGAAATAAAGATTTTGCGCTAAACTGCCCCTGTTCCATTGTCAAAATCACTTCAGTTAATGATTTTCCATTACAAGGCAAATTAAGGATGAAGAGGGAAGAATCATCAACCATGCATACCCAAATAGACCGCAAAAAAATGCCATCAAAAGCACCCTCCACGTCAACTTTGGCCTGCTCTTTCTGTTTTAAATATCACGTATGCGATACCAGCGTGTGTTCATGCTTCATATCAGAAAACAGAAATAGACGTTAAGGGGATTTTAAATGCATACCTTTCTATAACAAGAGCTAGAGAAAGAGAGAATGCAGCTCCGAAAATGTGACGGTAGGAAGTGAGGACCATAATGCTCATTCCATCATTTATGGTCAATTTATAAAGCACGTTCGCAGCCGCAGTTGCAACCTGCGACAGCACCATTAGCGACGCAGGCTTCAGCTCTTGCACTACTTTTCTATGATATTTCATCTTTGCTCAGCTGTTGCAATAGTTTGAGCTTCAAGAAGACCAAAATATATAGAGGTTATGTGCCATCCCAACCAAGCTAAAAAAATTTCGGATTAATTTATTTGTATATTACAAAAGCCCTAGCATTCAATATCTCAGCATTTCATTTAACCTCATCAATATCAAAATTTCATATTTCTATTTGTTACATTTTTTTTTTCAAGTTAATAAGTAAATTTTCTTTTATTTTCTAAATAAATGTAAGTTGTGTTTAACAAAAACTAACGGGACAAAAAAACTATAGAAATTGAAAAATTAATCGGCTGAAAGAAAGTTGATACCTAACGTTTAAACCACTTAGTTTATAAAATTATAAAATATTTAGTGACATTTTCCGTTAAAAAGATTTACGATGGTGAATAAAATAAAATACTTTTACTCGATATTTTATATAATTTTTAATCTTTATTTATAATTTGAGAGTTGTTCTAATTTTTTGCTTTAAATTAATTTAAACTCCTTTAAAATTTATTTCTACATAAAATGTTTTAATTATATTTATTTTACATTCAATTTGACACTCATATTTTTGTTTACAACAAGACATTTAAAAATATATATTGTGTATTTTTTATTAAGTATATTTTATATCTTGTCATGTTTTTTGTTCAAATTTGAAATAACATAAAAAAAAGATTATTTTTAAATGGAAATAAGAAATTTAAAATAAAGAAAAAAATTAGCATACACAATGTGATACCAAAATACTTAAATATAAAAAAATACACCATTAGTTAATATTAATGTATTGCAATGTAATTATGAAATAATAAAATAAATATTATAGATAGTATAATAATTAAACTAAATTACATATTATAATAATAATAACTTGTGTTTATCGTTGTTAATATATTATTAAGTAAAATCACTAGCTTCAAACAAGTCTTCTACATATTGTGTTCAATGTCAGTATTGGAAAAGGTAAACGCTAAAAATGAGTGGTGACATTGTTTTAAATAATTCTTCTATTTAGATAAAGAAAATTTCCATATTTTGACGTCATATGTTTAATTGAGGTTTGAAAAGAGAAATTTCGATGTCAATTAACGTTGAAATTTCACTTTTTGGACATTATATGATTGCAAGAATCATGTCAACCTGTACAAAAATGACATTTGGGTTGTCTAGTAAACAATTAGACGTATGAAAAGGGGAATTCCAACGTCAATTAACACTGGAGTTTCACCTTTTAGACATTAAAATGTGTGGCAGCTAGTTGTAAAAATTTACTACCATAAGAAGTCGAAAGTCCTAGATTCTGACATCAATTACCTACAAGATGTCAGAATTACTCTTTTTTTAAATGTCTTGTAAAAATTTGTAAAAACAAAATTCACGCACATTGTTTCACGCTTTCATTTATACTTAAACCTGAATTTTTGAATACGAGTGTAAGGAAGAAGAAATGTTAATTTTTTATCACTTACATCTTGCAAAAGTGTTTCTCTTGCCTTTATTACTTTATTAGTTTTGACCAATTTATATCGTTTTTTTGATTATTTACGTCCTTACACGAGTTGAAACTCTATACCCCCAAGTGAACCAACTGGTTCGTTTATAAGTGCAAGGACAAAATATGTCAGATTTGTATTATTTACCATAAATATATGTGTTTTCACAAGTGGAGGTTACAATTTTGGTTTTGTTTATTGATTCATTTCGTGTTTTCGTTCTCCATTGAAGATCTATCACAACGAACAACAACGTAGAAAAGTTCTCCTCTCTCCACTGTTGCCAATGACTCTCTTCTATCAAGGTTAGTTTTGTGGTTTTGATAAACATTACAATATAGCCATATATTATTCGATACGTGATTTTTAGTTTTCTTATTATATTTTGTGTGTCGTTTCTTGTATTTGTCTTTGATATTTATCAAAGCGATGCAGTAGAATGATTAGCCTATACAACAAACCAAGATGGGGATGAATTGGTTTCTTATCGCAAATAATACCTTAATTAATTTTCTCATATACTATAAATTTCTTAATAACAATTTAAACAAATAAGAGAGTAAGAAAGAGAGAAAATTGCAAAAGTGATTTTTATAATGATTCGGATTACACAGATTCTACGTCTAGTTATTAATCTTAAACGAGAATTAACGCTTCACTGTCACAAACCAACAAACTGTTACAATAAAATAGAAAATAACATACTTTAAGGTTAGAACACCTCTCTTGTTACCCCCAAGAAATGAAACTCGTTTCCCTTGAAACCCACAAGGGATGAACACCTCCTCCGAATGCTTCACGAATGATGAATACATCCTTTGAATCTTCACAAAGGATGACAGAATTTAACTCAGCAATAACAACAACACTCAATCACAACTCCCATGAAATTTCTCGCTCTATGCCAACACCAAGTTCTCAAAGCCAAAACACAAGGGTTACACAAACCCTAGAACACACTTATCACAACACACAATAAAATATATAAGTTTTTCGAAATTCAACTATTTTGTATGTTAGAATGAGAGTCCCAATCCAATTTATAGAGATCTCACTCAAGGATACCTTCAAAAATTCGTTGTCAGCTATTTAACATGTGATAATTGATTATCCACTTATGGTAATCGATTATGCATTGAATGAAAGTACAATAGTTAAAAACTTGCTTGAAAATTCTCATGATTGCTCGTGATAATCAATTATGGCAAGTCAAAATCGATTACTAATAATCGATTATTATAAGTTGGTAATTGATTATCTTCAGAATAAAATGAGGTTTTTTTTATTCAAAACAAATTTTAACGTAACCTAACGCAAACAATAATAGAATCAAAGATAAACCACAACCTATACAAAAATATACTAAATTACAAAAGTTTTACCACAAGACAAGTCTTCATGAAGGTCTTCCTTATAAAAAATATGTTCTTTAAAAATCTTTTCAAAATCTTTTGATCTTTCTTGAAATGCAATCAATAAAGAATGAATAACAATGCAAGAGTAAAGGGAAAGATAAATTCACACAATGATAAATACTAGTTCGGCCAAGCCTACATCCAGTCTTCTTTTAATCAACCTTAGATTGAAACAAAATCCACTATAATGATTGAGTTCTTACAAGCAAGATACAGAGACAACCTTTTCAATGTACTCTCCTCACAACTCTAAATCACTTATAGCAAATATATCCAGAAAGAACAATCATCTTTCTGTCAACCCTTAGATACCCCACTCTAAGTCACAAGAACTCCTCTAAGTCCTTCTTCCTGACAAGCAGCAACAGGGAACCACAATCACTTGATTGTAAAATGAAAATTGATCTGGTACAGTACACCTTGTTGTGTAGAAAATGATCATCCAATGTAAGCTCTTCAATTCTTCAAAGAATCTTGATGAAATTATCCAAATGTATGAATTCTTGATTCTTGAAGAGAGTATGACCACTTGTAATAAAACTCAACAAACAATGTTAGATATGAAAGTTATGAATCATCAAAGTTGTTGAAAATAGAAAACAATGCATCTATTTATAGGTATATCAGTACAGATGCATTTTAATCGATTAGCTAAATAATGTAATCGATTAAGTAAATCATTATGCTTTACCAGATTTACATTTTAGAGCATTTAACAGATTAAGCAAAGCACATAATCGATTAAGCAATTAATACAAGTCATAAAATTTAAAAATATGACGTTAAGATAGTTATGACTATTCTTGAAAAAAGTTTTCAAACAATACGCATTTTAACAGATTAAAGAAATAACATAATCGATTAAGTATCATACCTAAACAAATTTTGAAAACTTTTTCATTCAAATCACATCAATGCATTCATTAAGCATGTGCAGGCATAACCACAAGTTTTAATCGATTATACCCATAATGTAATCGGTTAAAACTTTTTGTTTTGCCACAATTAAGTGTGTACTGATATTTGATGAATCTAACAGATTATTCAAACTATGTAATCGATTAATTCATACAGATATGTAATGTGAAAATTGTTGTCAACAGAAATTCATTTGAAATTAATGAATGCATGTCACAGATAGTTCAAACACATAGACAGATATAAACAATCAATAGTTTTGTCATGTGCAGGAAACTATAAAACATTTACGTTGTCATCATAAAAAACTCATATGTGAGATATGGGTTCAGCTTTCCATAGCTCCCCCTATCAACAAATATGTCAAGACTTGGACAACATACATGATCATCTATTCATCTATAGTATAATAAGGAGTTATATAGTTTGGACTTGGCATGGAGAAGTACTACACAAGTATACAACGTCAAAAGGAACATATTATATTGATGAATGGATGAGTGATCATTTAGAGAACATGGTACATGATGTTGGTAAAGAAAATTTTGGAAGAGTTGATTTATATGATTCTCTTAAGAACGATATAGAGGAAGAGTTGTATCTAGGATGCAACAACTTTACACGACTGTCAGCAACTTTGAAATTGTTTAGTTTAAAAGAAAGGAATGGTTTGACCGATAAAAAATTCAAAGAATTATTATAGTTGTTGAAGGGGATACTTCCAGAAAATAACATGTTACCTATATGTAATTACGAGGCGAAGAAAATTTTATGTCTAATGGGTTTGGAATACCAAAAGAGACATGCATGCTTCAAATTGTGTATTGTATAAAGATGAGTATGTTTCACTAAAGGTGTGCCCAACATGTGGTTTATCATGGTTTAAGAAGAAAATTGATGGAAATAATGGTGATGAAGACAATGATGGTCCATCTGTTAAGGTGATGTGGTACTTGCCTACAATACCTAGTTTGAAACGATTGTTTTCTATTAAAGAATATGAAAAGAACCTTAAATGGAACGTTGATGGAAGAAAGTGTGATAATCTTCTTGACACCAAGTTAATTCCCCACAATGGAAAAAGATTGATGAAACATTTCCAAAATTTGGTGTAGAGCCAAGAAACTTAAAACTTCTACTTGCTATCAATGATATGAATCCTTATGAAAACTTA